CTCTTTCCAACTCTTTTCGCCCCTCACTCTCACTACCCGCCACTTGCCCGTTTTCGTTATGTCTGCGTGCTGCTGAAATCCTTGAATCACCCTCCGTTTCTTGCCAGTGAATTCGCTATGGTGGCTTGGGAAGCCTCGACGCACAGAAAACTGTCGTCATCCTAGTCTCTCGTGCCCTTTGCCCTGCCTTGGTCCTCGTCAAACCTTGGTGCGGCGTATCCGGTTGAACGTCAGGCGGCCATCCAATTACCACGATCCAAGATCTTCTACAACGTTTGCTATGGAGAAAAAAAATTCCGGCGATGAAGAAAGATCTACGCACACACTTTGACACGGAAGGGCTTACTCCACTCGGCTCCAGCGGCGATGACCGCGGTCAAGCCCATCTCAGCCTGATGCAGCTGTAAGCAAGAGCTACGGCTATGGAACCCTTACATGGCAATCGCGGAAAAAAGACGATATACTCTCTTTTCGCGATTGAGATCGCCAGCCACGTCAGCCCGTGACGTGGAATGAACTAGCACCCTTACCCGTCGCGCGTGCACGAAGCGCCGCCCCTCTGCTAGCCAACAATGACCGTACCGCAGCTCTGATACCAAATTGCAAGGAAAATGAGCGATAGCGAACTTCAGGAACCAAGCAGCATCATACACGTGAGACTAGATAGTCATGACCTCGAACCAAAAGCAGAACTGCATCACGAGTCCCACCAAACAAGAGCACAGCAAAAGCTCATAAGTGACAATGTTCGAATAGTCTCATCATCATCAACAAAGAACCAATGTCGACATCCTATTTGGCGCTCCGCGCCCAGACTACAAATGGCAGATCCTATCTAGAATATCTACAATGCCGCTGATGACGTCAACAGCTCCCCGAAGTACAAGCAGATCTCGGCAAATGCCGTTCGCCTCGAACACCAGGTATGTCTCTCGTATCACTCACAACCTCGATCCCCAACTCACAGATGCCACATGCACCCAAAGACCACCTTGCACCCCATCCAGCGTACAGCAGCGCAGCTCGGCTATGGCTGCCTGCTCCTACCAGCTCGCCCGTGAGCGCGTGAGCGCTGGCCAGCGTTAGCGCAGCATGCAGCCAGTGCCCGAATGCCCAGTGCTGGGGCAGGCACTTTCCTAAATGGAAGTGTCCTGCCTGCTGCGTGCATCCTGTCTGCTTTGGGCCTCGGTCCAGAAGCTTCCGGCAGGCCCCGTGAGGCTGAGCCCCAGTCCGAACGAGTCAGGCCCAGGGCCTGTCGTGGTTACCCGTGCCCAACTTCCCGCAGCCTGTGTTCGGCCCATGTGTTGCGTATCTGGCCCAGGGCCTGCCTCGGTTACATACGAAAAAGGCGGCCTGGGCCTGGGCTCTCTCAACCAACTGGTGCTGCGCAACTGCCTGAATTTTTCCAGTTGCGTGGTGACCCCAAAAATGGGCGTATAGGCCTTGGTCGAGCCTGCCTTCACTTAGGGCGGCCGACTGTACTGAAAATAGAGCCCAGTAGGGCGTATCGAGGCCTTGAGCCTCGCATTCGCGAATACTTTAGGATTAATCAATTCTTTCTCAGCATTTCTTTTTCGAAATTCGAAACTACTTTTACTTCATTCTTTTTCGAAAATTTTGAAAATATGTGAGGATTTAGTCCCTCGGCAGTGTCTGAAAGTGCTGTGCCCGCCCTAGGTGAAGGCGGGCCTGCAAATATGTGCCAATGCCTGTTTATAGGGCTATGAGACCAGGCTGAGGGGCCCAAGCAGAGCCTGTTGTAAACACCATGTGGGCATGGATCTTCAGCGAGGCCTTGTTACGAGTTGGCTCCTTGACATGCCCCTGTAGGGCCCTTTCAGACAGCATGAGCCCGCCCTAAGTGAAGGCGGGCCCCTGAATTTCAATATGGCCTGAGTTCGTCAATTTTGGCAAAGTTTGGTGGGTGCCAGACAGTTGCCATGCGCCAGTTGGTTACGTCATCCGTACTCGTGAGAATCAGAAATAATTTGTGAGCCTTCTAGGCTCTTCCAGCAGCACAGGCGAAGCAGGGAGAACCTCACGTTTACTCCTGGGTGGTTGGGCAGGCTCAACCAATTCGGTCCCAGGCCACTGTCTGAAAGGGCCTGGGCGCAGACACTTTGGCCCAATTGGAAGCTACTGGAAATACACGAGGCCCAGCCAGGGAGCAGACTGGGTGAGCACTTTCCATAAAGGAAAAAGCCCACCACTGGTGGAGTCATTCGGGCACTAGGCAGTGCATGCGGCAGCGCTGCTTGAGCGTGCACTGGCAGGCTGTGTGCTCTGCACTAGCGCTAGTTGCCAGGTAGTGTGCGCAGGCGCTGGAAGAAGGCAGGGCGCTGCTGAGGGCAGCGCCATAGCCAGCCCTACATAGACGGGGCTTGGCTTGGACAGCCAGTGGAGGTGGTGGTGGTCTTCGTGCATAAGGGAGAAGACGTGGGAGGAAGACAAGGATAGGGAGAGAGTGAAAGAGATGAGGATGATGATGTGAGGGCGCATACCTGGTTTTGGCGATGGTCTGCATTGGTCGACATTTTCAAGTACTTCGGTGGCTGCTGACGTCAACAGTTGAATTGTCAATTCGTAGGCAGGAAGTAGCTGGGCCACAGCCCACTGACACAAGCAATCGTTTCTTGTCCTTGGAAATAGAAACAGAAACAGGGGACCGACAGATCGCAGCACAACCAAAGCACCCGGTGGATCCGAAACTCCACGATCAAACACGAAAGGCAGCAGAAGCGCCCAAAACAGAGGAGGGGCGTCCGGGCATGACGGTCTCAGGCAAAGAAAGTGAGGTGCTGGGCAAAGGAAGAGGGGGTCCGGGTACCAACGGTGGGAAGGAAGGGGGAGCGTCACAGCCCCAATCCAAAGGAGGCGAAGTCTCTTCACGGCCAGACCCTTTCTGGCAAGCTTTTGGGCCCCAACCCATGGATTGGGATCCGCCAACCTCACCCCCCCCAGACGAAGAAATGAGGGACAGCACCCCCCGAGCTTGGGGATCGCAAGGGGGGGAAGATATTGAGCTTAGGCTAAAGAATCTGGCAGAATGGCTGCTAGGCCAGCTCCAGATCCTGTATGTGGGCCAGACAGAGACATACTGGGACGAGGGGTATGTCCAACTCTTCTCCCTGCTGGATGAAAGTCCAAGCCTGAAACAGGCCCTCGAACAAGGCCTGGCCCCGGGAATGGACTGGCAACAGGCGCTAAACAGAATATGGAACATCATACACAAGAAATTCCAGCCCCCCACAGCAGGACCTCCTCAACCTCCTGAAGAAACCCCCCAACCCCCCACCACAGAACCACGCGACATGATTGAGGAGGTGGACCAACCCCCACCCCCCCTTCAGCAGCCACCCTCGCCAAGCGCACAACAAGCCGCACAGAACACCCGCCCGGAACAAAAGACAATAATAGAAACGACAGGGTCCAACCCATCGAAACGAACCAAAATGCCCCACCTAATCGAAAAAGGGCTATACCAGACCAGCCTACCTACGGGGGACAAGGTCTTAGTGCTGCCAATCAGAAAGAAGACCGGGAAATGGGAATGGGGCTTGTCACCCGCAGAGTCCGAGGACCCATACGCCCCCGCTTACGGAGGAATGACACTCCTTGGGTGGCACATGCAAAGGGAGGGTATACTAAAAACGCGAGAGGCCAATGAGTTTATTGTCGGGCACTACGAACCAGGAGCGATGGCCATCATTAGCGTATCAACGGAGGGATTGCGGATGGCCTACAAGGACCTTTATGTAAGATTTGAAGAGAATAAGGAAGCGGGGCTACAATGGCTCACGCACAATATGCTCTTGGGCACCCAACAATTGAAGCTCAAACCAAGCACCGTCTGGTCAACTGACGAACTGCTCACATGCATCTGCGCAATACTTAGAAAGAACATCCTCAATAAAGGATTCAACTGGGATGCACAGGAATGGTCCCCTATTCTCGACAAATAACAATGGGACTAAGGGCGCTCAAGCACACAAAGAACACAAAATCAATGGAGCTTGTTGATGCAATATATGAAAAAAAAAGGGAAATGGCGACGCATACTACAGCAGGCCGACTTGGATCTCAGATCAATCAACGTGAACGGCTTGGCTTCCCGCAACCCGGAAAAAATTAAGGCACTATGGGATTTGATGAAAGGGGTTGGGGGTAGATGGCCAGACGTGGTATGCATTCAAGAAACCCACCTTATGGATACCCCAGAACACCATAGGGCGCACAGGCAAGCCTGGCCCTTTCAGAGCTACCAAGCATTCGCCCCCCGTCCCGGGAGCTCGGGTGCGGCCATCTGGATTCCGCCCGAATCCCGGTGCGAGGTCCTTCACTGGGAGAAGGACGAGGAAGAGGGATGATGGGTCAAAATACTGGGCGCCCTAGAATTAGAAGTCGTGTGTATAGTATCCATATACGCCCCAAACACGTCCCGTGAAAAACAAGTGTTTTTCGATAAAATTGCAACAATCCCCACCCAGACATCCCCCTGATACTAACAGGGGACTTCAACGCGGCACCCAACAGGTGGCTGGATAGGTGGAAACTTCCCCAGACCACTGCACACAATGTAGAGGAGGACAAGCGTATGCTGAAAGATTTGTGCACCCCCCTATCGCTCTTTGATACATTCAGGCGAAACCACCCCAAGGATAGATCCTTTACCTGTATCCAAAACAAGGATCCCGCTAGGCTGTCCAAATCAAGGATTGAATTAATCCTGGCATCAGAGGAGTCGGTAGGAGGACTCTCACTATCGGCAGTTCTCCCATCCAGCCTGTTTTCCGGTATGGATCACAGAATGTGTATGGCAGTATGGACATTTCGCAAACAACCGGACTGAGGGGCCAGTTACTATAAACTAAACACCTCTCTACTAAAAACTCGACCGTTCAAGCAATACCTCCAACAAACCTGGGAATTTTGGAAAGACCACCGCCCCCAACACGAATCACAGATCGACTGGTTTAACAATGGTTTATTTTTCTTGGCCAGGAAATGTAACGAGTACTCCAAGTATTTAGCCTCCCAGAGACACATCCAGGAAGTCACATTCATGCAAGATTTGGTAAGCGCAGAGCAAGAGCAAAATTTCTTAAACTCGCAAGGGCAGAAACAACGAATCACAGACCTACAAGCGCACATACAAAAACTAAAAGACCGACTTTTTCAGCATGCACAATACAGATGGCAAGGTGCCCAAATAAGGGCCAGGCTATGTAGATCCTCCACGGAAGGGGTAATAGACGCTCATTTTTTTGGCTTGGCTAGAATGCGCTGCCAACGAACCATAATCGAGGCTCTATATGAACCAAACGCCAGAGACGCGGACCCGACCGTGTCCAGCCCGCTGCACGAAGATAACTTACGATTTCTATAAGGAGCTCTTCTCCTCACACCTGGACAAGTCAGACCCCCCACATCACAACCGCCTAATCCAGGAATTCCTGGAACCACTCAACAAGACTTCGACGATTAAACAACAGGAAGAACTAGAAGCCCCGCTCTCCAAGGAGGAAATATGGACCGCCCTCCTACAAATGAAGGAGGATAAGGCCCCCGGGATAGATGGCTTTCCCAAGGAATTTTGGGAAACCACCTGGGATTTCATGAGCCAGGATATTATGGATTTCTACAGTGAAGTCTGGCTCACTGGGGATATGGGAGAAAGGGTGGGGCAAGGGATACTAACCCTCCTGTACAAAAAGGGGGATAAAATGGACATTAGGAATTATCGACCCATAACATTGCTTACAGTGGTCTATAAAATCTTGTCAAAGGCCTTGGCAAATAGAATGATCCCGGTAATGGAGGACATCATCCATCCGGATCAAACCGGCTTCATGCAGAACAGGAACATTCAAGAGAACATCCTACTAATACATGAGGTCCTCCAACTCACAAAGCACTCTCGTCA